CCTTCGGGTGATAAGGAGGTTGTGGGGGGTGGGAGAGGGGGGGAAACCAACATCTTACTCAATCGATCCCACTATCGATCTCCACCACGGGACACCGCGGGACACCACGGGACACCATGGGACAATCGTCGATCTCATTATCGATCTCACTATCGATCTCACTCAACGGGACACCACGGGACACCACGGGACACCACGGGACACCACGGGAAACCGCGGGAAACCGCGGGACATCGCGGGACACCTCTCGATCTCACTATCGGTCTCACTATCGATCTCACGATCGATCTCACTCACCGGGACACCATAGGACACCACGGGACACCTCGGGACACCATACGGATCTCACTATCGATCTCACTATCGATCTCACTCAACGGGACACCACGGGACACCACGGGACACCTGTCGACATCACTATCGATCTCACTATGGATCTCACTTTTGGGGACACCACGGGACACCTCGGGCACCACGTCTATCTCAGTATCGATCTCACTATCGATCTCACTATCGATCTCACTCAACGGGACACCACGGGACACCAAAAGACACCACGGGACACCTGTCGATCTCACTATCGATCTCACTATCGATCCCACTTTTGGGGACACCACGGGACACCACGGGACAACTCAGGGCACCACATCAATCTCACCATCGATCTCAGTATCGATTTCACTATCGATCTCACTATCGATCTCACTCAACGGGACACCACGGAACACCACGGGACACCACGGGACACCACGGGACACCGCGAGCCACCGCCGGACGGACGGACGGACGGGCGGGCGGAAGAGAATCATTTGTCTTGACTTCGCCCTAGCAACGGCGGACACCAAGGGACACCACGGGAAACCACGGGACACCGCGGGACACCGCGAGCCACCGCCGGACGAGCGGGCGCGGGAGAATCATTTGTCTTGACTTCGCCCTAGCAACTGTGGGTTCATTCCTCTCGCGCGCCCACGCAGCTTCGCCTGGCCCGCACGCACGACGCGAACGAAACGAAACGATTTCCCGGTTGGGGGTCTCCGTTTCACTGCGATCTCACCCCCCAACCTCCGAAATCTATGTGTATATATATATATATATATATACAACCACCCTTCGGGTGATAAGGAGGTTGTGGGGAGGGGGGGAGAGGGGGGGGAACCAACATCTGACTCCTTCGATCTCACTATCGATCCCACTCAACGGGACACCACGGGACACCACGGGACACCACGGGACACCACGGGACACTTGTCGATCTCACTATCGATCTCACTCAACGGGACACCACGGGACACCACGGGACACTTGTCGATCTCACTATCGATCTCACAATCGATCTCACTCAACGGGACACCACGGGACACCACGGGACACCGCGGGACACCGCAGGACACCTCTCGATCTCACTATCGGTCTCACTATCGATCTCACTATCGATCTCACTATCGATCCCACTATCGATCTCACTCAACGGGACACCACGGGACACCAAAAGACACCACGGGACACCTGTCGATCTCACTATCGATCTCACTTTTTGGGACACCACGGGACAACTCGGGACACCACATCGATCTCAGTATCGATCTCACTATCGATCTCACTCAACGGGGCACCACGGGACACCACGGGACACCTGTCGATCTCACTATCGATCTCACTATCGATCTCACTCAACGGGACACCACGGGACACCCACATCGATTTCAATATCGATCTCACTATCGATCTCACCATCGATCTCACGATCGATCTCACTCAACGGGACACCACGGGACACCACGGGACACCGCGGGACACCGCGAGCCACCGCCGGACGGACGGACGGACGGGCGGGCGCGGGAGAATCATTTGTCTTGACTTCGCCCTAGCAGCGGCGGACACCACGGGACACCACGGGACACCGCGGGACACCGCGGGACACCGTGAGCCACCGCGAGCCACCGCCGGACGGGCGGGCGGGGGAGAATTATTCGTCTTGACTTCGCCCTAGCAACTGCGGGTTCATTCCTCTCGCGCGCCCACGCAGCTTCGCCTCGCCCGCACGCACGACACGAACGAAACGAAACGATTTCCTGGTCGGGGGTCTCCGTTCCACTGCGATCACCCCCCAACCTCATATATATATATATATATATATACCTATACAACCGCCCTGCGGGCGATAAGGAGTCTGGGGGGGATTGATATCAAATGCCCACGCTGACTGACCTTCAGCCTGTCACCTTGATATCATCTCTCTCTCTCTCTCTTTCTCTCTGTCTCTCCCTCTCTCTCTCTCTGTCTCTCTCTCTCTCTCGCCCTCTCTCTCTCTCTCCCTTTCTATCAGACTCTCTCTCTCCACCGCAATGACGATCGCGATGCGATGACGATGGATTGGGTTGGATGGATTGGATCGGGTGGGATAAAATGAGAATAAGATAGGATGGATTGGATTGGACAAGATGGATTGGATACGATAAGCTGGATTAGATAAGAAAACCCGCCGCAGGCGCCGACAAAAATGAATTGATGGATTGGGCTGGGTGGATTGGATTGGATGGGATAAAATGAATTGGATATGATAAGATGGGTTGGATTGGAAGAAATGGATTGGCAAAGATAAGATGGATTGGATTGGCCCGCCGCAGGCGCAGAAACAAATGAATTGATGGATTGGGTTGGGTGGATTTGATTGGGTGGGATAAGATAAGATGGGACAAGATGGGCTGAATAAGATAGATGGATTGGATTGGACAAGATGGATTGGATAAGATACGCTGGATTGGATAAGAAAGCCCGCCGCAGGCGCCGAAAAACATGAATTATGAAATTAGCGACATGCGATAGCGCCGGGACGCCCGGGACACCCGGGACACCCGGGACACCGCCCGGCCCAGCTGGGACAACTCCCGGCCACCGGCGGACGGGAAACGGACTTTCGCTCCTTCTGAAACCTGGGACACCCGGGACACCGCCCGGCCCAACTGGGACACCTCACAGCCACCCGCGGACGGGAACGGACGTTCGCTCCTACTTCGGCCTATAGCTACAGCAGGATCACGCGCAGCTTCGCCTCGCCCGCACGCACGACACGAACACGAAACCGAAACCGATTTCCCGGTGGGGGTCTCTGCTTCACTGCGATCTCACCCCCCAACCTCCGATACATGTGTGTATGCATACCTATACGACCACCCTGCGGGTGATAAGGAGGTTGTAGGGGGGGGGCCAGCAATGGGCAACTGTGGTGATAGTTGTTCTGACGATGCCAGTGAAGATTGTTGCGTTGCCGCTCGCTCTTGGGAGATTTCGTGTCGAAATTAAATATTATTTCGTTCATTTGCAAGGGCGGGGCACTTATACGACCACCCTTCGGGTGATAAGGAGGTGAGGGGGGGGGGCCAACGTCGCACTCGATCGATCTCACTATCGATCTCACTATCGACGATCTCACGCGATCGATCTCACTCGATCAATCTCACAATCGATATCACTATCGATCTCACTATCGATCTCACTATCGATCTCACAATCGATATCACTATCGATCTCACAATCGATATCACAATCGATCTCACTATCGATCTGACAATCGATCTGACTATCGATCTGACGATTGATCTCACTATCGATCTCACGACGGGACACCGACGGGGCACCGCAGGACACCGACGGGACACCGACGGGACACCAGCGGGACAGCGGCGGGACAGCGCGCGGCCCCGAACGCCGGGTCGCCAAACATTTGGTCCGGCCGCGCCTCAGTCACAGGAGACTTTCCTCTCGCCCGCCCACGCAGCTTCGCCTCGCCCGCACGCACGGCACGCACGAACACGAAACCGAAATCGATTTCCCGGTAGGGGGACTCTCCGTTCCACTTCGATCTCACCCCCCAACCTTCGATATCCATGTTATATAGATATATATATATATATACATATACACGAAAGCATTCACATAACTATAACAGAAAATGCCACCGCACTTGTCGCTACTTCTGTCAATTTCGCTTCTGGCGCAACGATAGTTAGAGCACCCTGGGGCATCCCGCCCAGCACGGCTCCGCTAAAATGACGCAATCCCTGCGTTTCTCGTGCTTCCCGCAAGATGTACCCGGCGCGACCCCAATTAGGGGTCTCCTGTCTTTCGAATGGATTCAAGCCAGCTCTGAGCAACGCAAAGCAGCGCAATGTAATGCAAAGCATTGCTTGGCTTGGCATTGCGTTGCATTGTTTTGCATTGCTCGGCGTTGTGTGGTGTTGCCTGGCATTGCTTTGCGCTGCGGGGGATTGCTTGGAATCGTTGCTTGACATTGCTTGGAATTGTTTTGCCTTGCTTGGCGTTGCGTGGCATTGCCTGGAATCGTTGCTTGGCGTTGATTGGCATCGATTTGCACTGCCTGGCTTTCCTTGATATTGTGTTGCGCTGCTTGACATTGCATTGCACTGCGTGACGCTGTGCTTGCCGATGCTCGGCATTGCTTGGCATTGCTTGGCATTCCTCCCATTGCTTGGCAATGCGCCGCCAGGCATTCCTCCCATTGCCAGTCGAGCAACCACGGGCATCACCCAGGAATGCCAGGCAACGGGGCAACGGGGCAACGCGAGGAGCCCCGCGAGCCGCCTCCCACTGACCACGTCGGACCCACCGGCCCTTTCACAAAACAAAGCCAAACCCCCGAAATTCAGGTAGGATCCTCCGAGGCTTTCACCCCCCAAGACCATCCACCCCCAAATATCCTCCGACGTTTTTGTTCAATCAGCGGCCCCAAAGCTCCCGGTACCTTCCCCGAGGTTTGTTTTGCGTCCCAGATTCCCTTTTGATGATCCCAGGGCCCGATAACGAGCCCCCGAGGCCAACATCGAGGAAAAACGCCAAGATTGACAAAAGCAGGTCCTCGGAGGTCTGGGGTCGCAATGGCGGCACCGCGCGGCAGTGCAACTGGATACTTGCTGTCAACGCACGGCTTGCATCGCAAATCGCAGGATGGCGCCCGCTGTGTAGCAGGAGCTCCCCGCTCAAGTGAAGGCGGTAATGACCTCGGCGTTCGTTCCGCGCACGAGGACAACTCGAGGCAGGTCCTTCGTCATGGACGCGACGAACTGGAAGTAGCCCAAGGAGCTCTCCGTTTTTGACATCTCGGGCAGATTGGTGACGACCAGCTCCGCTTCTCTCGACGCCGAGACGATCAGCTGGTTCAGGCCACGAGGGATCAATAGCTCCGCGGCGCTCAGCGGCTTCGTGGAGGCGAGCTGGTCCTTACTGTGCAAGAAGGCGCCCTTTGACGATGAGCGTGTGGTCGCGCCTTGCCCAGCGAAGGCTGGCGTCGACGCGTCCCCAGTGTGGGCCCGAGTAGAGCCTGGTGGTCTGAGAGCGAACTCCCTCTCCTGCGAACCCTCGCGTGTCGGCCGCACCTTAGCAGAGACACCGCCAACTGCTGTCTGATTCGAGATCCACCTGGTGATGCCGTCCGCCGCTTCACGAGACATGGTCGACCCTCCAGAGAAATCCCTTTTCAGCTCGAAGTTGTCCCTCTCGGACGACGCCCCAGAGATTTCCCTCGTCAGCCCAAAACTGTCCCCACCTGGCAGGGTCGCCTCGCCCTCGAAGTTCAGCGTGTCTGGATCGACGATCTTCACGTGCACTTCCATGTCGAGACGAAACTCGGTGACATATTGCTTCAACTCCTTCTTGAGTTTCTCCGGATCGTCAGCCTCCTTTTCGGCAAGCACCCAAAGCCTTGTGCGGCACTCCCGCCAGACCCTGTGCTTCTTCAGGAGGTGAGGCAGGAGCAGCAGGATGCTGCCGTTGCCGACGATCCACCAGATGTCGATGTAGCCTCCGAGTCGCACCAGCGAGGTGGGCCACATGTGGCCTTTCAGAACCAGCGTCACCTTGTTATGCGCGAAGGAGGTCTGCACCAGGCGTATCAGGTGGGTGCGAGCGAGCTCGCCTTCCTCCTTGAGACTGCGCCACTCGCGCGGCCAAGAGGCGATTATGCTGTTCGGCTGGAAGGACCCCAGGCCCGCATTCTGCACGAGGCCCAGGACGCCCTTCTGGAAATCGTGAGTGTAGATGACCCTGCCGAAGCCCGAGATGCCATACTCGTTGAGGAGCTTCTGCATGGCCACCTGCCCGTCGGAAACCGTGAACTTCTCCAGGCCCGAGAACATGCTCGCACCCTCGACGAAGTCCTCGAACGCACTGTTACAGCAAATGCCGCCTACGATCACGAAGCCGCGGCCGCCCTTGAGCTGCGAGACAAACTTTAGCAACTGTGGATCGTGGACCTGCACCAGCTCGTTGTTCGTTTGTGCGTCCTCGACGATGGAGGCCTTGGTGATGACCAGCAGCTGCGGGCGCCAATTCTTAGCATGCACGTGAAGGTCCATCTTGGTCAGGATTTTCTTGGCAACCTGGAACTTCATGCCCTGGAATCCGTCGCCCCACTTGGCCTCAGCCGAGTTGAAGGAAGCATAACTAAAGACGATAGCACAGAAAAACACAGCCACTGTAGCAATCAACGGATCCATGGCGAACATCATGAATAAGCACAAGACAGTACCAATCAGAGACACAGACCAGTGGTGAAATGGGAAGCGGGGCCGCCAGTTCGGGTCGCCAACAAGCTCAAGAACGGTGCAGGACATGTTCACGCACGTGTAACAGATGAGGAAAAACATGGTGAGCACGGGCGCAATGGCATTCAGCTGCCCTATGGCGATGGCACAAGCGCAGAGCGCACCGCTTGCAACGAGCGCCAATCGCGGCTCCTCTCCTGGCTTCACGGCGAAAACTGCCAACACCGGCAACGTCTTGTCCATGGCAATGGCACTCAGAAGCCTGGTCCCCGACGTGAGGCTCGTCAGACCAGCGCCGATGGTGGAGGCAATGACGCCGTAGACTACGACCTCCTTGATCGGCCACGCAGAGGAAGCAGCGAAGAACTTATCATCGAGGAGGGTCTGCCTGGGAGCCACGCAGCCGTAAAGTATCGTGAACGAAAGGTATATCAGGGAGGTGACAACCTGCGCGAAGATGGTGCCCTTTGGAATGTACGAGGCGGGGTCTTCGAGGTCTGCGGACCGGTTGCTCCCAGCCATAATCCCTGTGCACGCAGGGAACCAAAGCGACATTAGGGGGATGAAGCTGTACTGGACAGTGTCAAGAGGGAAAGCCTTTTGATCCGCATCATAGTCGGGCCACAGGTTTTCTGTCAGGTACTGCCGCGACGGGGAATTCCACGCGAGAGTTTCAGTATGGATCTCGTTCTTTGCGTCTACAATGTCGAGCTCGTACTCCCCATTTCCAGACGGTCCGATGAAAATCCCGAGGTACATGAAAAAAATGACTACGAGCACAATGAAGAGGAACACCGTTCCAACCCTCGCCACGTATTTGATGCCACCACCCACGACGAGAAGAGCCACGGCAAGTATGAGGAAGCCAGTGGCTCGGACATTGTTCAGCTCGCCTGCGGTCAGCAGCTGCAAATTCGGCGCTGCCACCTCCCACGCCTCCACCGTGCCCATGAAGTACATGGCCGCGCCGATCGAGTTGGCCATATAAAAGCACAGGCCGACACCCGCGCCCAGCGCGGCCCCAAGGGACCGCGAGATGAGGTAGTAGGAGCCACCGCCCCTCATCTTGCCGTTGGTGGCGACTGCCGACAGGCTCAGCGACGTGATAAACGTGCAACAGCAGCACACAAAGACGAGGCAAAAGCCGTTGACGACCCCAGCCTTCCCCACGATCCACGGTAGCCTCAGGAAGAGTATGACGCCCAGGATGTTGGCCATGCATGGGAATATGACACCCTGCCAAATGCCCATGCTTGCGCCTTTCGACTCGTGCGCCTGCTGCTGGTCATGCCTCCACCGGCCCACGTGGTCCATTACGTTCTCATCCGTGCCCCACACCTCTGGGTTGTGGTCGAGGTCATCAAGCGTACCACTCCTCCGCCTGTTCTGGTTGACGGGGGAGGACCCTGAGTGCCACGAGCGAAAGGGGTCCTTGAGGGAAACGGGGCGTGGTCCCCTCGGGCCATCCCCGAGACCGGCGTCCCCTCTGGCAGAACAAAGCGGCAGAAGCACAAATCTTCGGAGGTCCACGCGGATCGCTTGGATCGGCGCTGAAACCCCCCTCCCTGGCGCGCGGGGAGCGAATCAGGGGGCGACGCCGGAGGCGCCGCCAGGGAGTGCCCAGCGCAGATGCAAGAAACACCTCCGAACAAGTATGTTCCTGTCGTCCCTGTTCCCCAACAGCGAGGTCGTGGGGGCCGGAGGGAGCACCGAATGGCCGGGAACGGCAAATAGCCTCAACAAGGACACCTGCCCCTCGGGATCCTTTCGTCGCCTTCTTCTTCTTCATACCATTAACGCATATCGTTGGCTTCTGATTCTTAGATCATTATTCGTCTTGTACTTGTCATTATTCTTATTATTGCTATTATTAGCATTACTATTACTAGTTGTCTTCTTTTTACTTCTTCATGGCGGCCTCCTGGCACCCCTGCGGCGGCAGCATCGCCGTCCTCTCGGTCCGCAGAAGGCAGCCATGTGCACCACCGCCAGCTCTGGCGGGGGCCTTCCTGGGCCCTGGGCTGATATCCAGGCCCTCCGTGACCCGACCAGGCGCTATTACGTATGGGCGATTCCGGAAACCCTGAACCCAAAACTGGTTTATCTCTTGGGGGGGCGCATCTTCTGCTTCCGCCGCCTTCCGCCGAGCTTCCGCCGAGCTTCCGCTGGCGGAGGCAGCGGCCTTTTACTTCCGCCGCCCTTCCGCCGCCTTCCGCCGAGGAAGAGATGGCAACTACCTCGATCCTCGAAGGCACTGCCCTTCTTGGAATGCCTCATATGACCAAGGATCTTCCCCTGCCCGATGCCCCCCCTCCGATGCCGCCCCCCTTGTGAATTCGATGTGGTGCTGTAGTTCGGTGCGGTGTGGTGTGGTGCGGTGTGGTGATGGGGCGCCCCAGGGAGCGGGAGGGCTGCAACCTCTCAGCTCACGGGAACTCGGCCTCCAGGAAAGGTCCAGGTCGTCGTCGCCGTCGCCGTCATTGTCGCCGTCGCCGTCATCGTCCCCGTCGCCGTCATCGTCGCCGTCGCCGCCGTCGCCGCTGTCGCCGCTGTCGCCGCGGCTGCCGCCGCCGCAGTCGTCGTCGTCGCCTGCGGGCTCGCACGCAGCCCCGCTACTGTCAAAGGCTACTTGGGATCCGAAGAGCCCGCGCCAGCAAGTGCCGTCCTGGTGATCCTGCAACTGCGCGGCCCTGTAATTAGACGGCCTCGACCCCTTCCCCGGGCCTGGTCCTTCGCTCCCCGAGCCCCGGGGGCCCGAGGACAGGCCCCGCTGGCCAGCGTCGAAGAGGCAACAAAACAGAACCAACAAACAAAGCGGCGAGACTCCCACGAGCGCCTCCGCGGAGAATGTGGGGACCCCCTCGGCACGAGCGACCCCTGGCGCGCGCCACCGCCGACCTCGCCGCCTGCGGCGTACACGCGCGACGGCGCAGCGGCCAGGCGTGCTCGGGCCTCGCTCCCCCGCCACCCCCTCCCCCTCCTCCTCCCTCCTCCTCCTCCTCCTCCTCCTCCTCCTCCTCCTCCTCCTCCTCCTCCTCCTCCTCCTCCTCCTCCTCCTCCTCCTGAGACGTCGCACAAGTTAGGGGGCCGCGTGCGAACCCTACCCCTACCCCCCACGATCTCTGAGGGGGGAGGATGGGATTCGCTTCGCTCTGGAGCTCCTGGACAGAGTGAACCCCGCCCTCCCCCTCAGAGATCGTGGGGGTAGGGGTAGGGTTCGCACGCGGCCCCCTAGAATTCGCATCGCCGTGGACAACACACACACCACGGGCGCTCTGCCCTGAGACCTTTGGCGTGGCAGGTTGCTCCCACGAGGCGCGCTCGCCCAGCTTCGGGCCCCCGGGAGCACCCTCACGGAGCGCCCCTGGCTCGACGAGACGCCGCAGAAGGAGGGGGGCCTATTATAGGGCTCAAAATCAGGTTTCGAGATGCTGCGATGGTCTCGCAACGCCGGAGCTGCAGGTAGATACACTGCTCTGCGGCAGTCCCCGAGGCGGAGCGATCCGTGAGGGGGCCCCAGGGCCCGAAGCGGGGCGCCAGCGCCCCGGGTGCCAAAAACTGCAGGCCGCCCAGATCTCGAGGCAAGGCCCCTCGGGACGCGCAGGCGACCTTGGGCCCAGACGTCCTCCTAATTACGTGCATGGCTGCTCCACCCGCGGCCCCCTGCACTCCCGACCCCTTCCCTGGGGTGCAGCTTCCCGCCCCCCGATCCCCTGTTGATGGCCCATGGGGCACGACGGCGGGCCCCGCTCGCCGCATCTGAGAAAACACACGCCTGGGGGAAGAGGACGTGTCCTCTGAGATCGGCCGGGCGCCATCACAAACGGCTTCCTTCCGCGGACCCCGCTCGTCGCCGCCACCCGCAGCCTTCCCGAGCCGGGGTCTGCCACGGGTGCCCCTGGCCCAAGGTGCCCCCAGTCTGGCGCGCAACTCTGAACCCCCGAGGGGCCCTCCGGGCCTCGCGAGGGGTGCTCCAAGGAGGCCGCGGGGTCTCCCTCGGATTGGACCTTGGGGGAACAGACGAGCGCGTTCCCCTGCTTGCAAAGTGACTACTCGTGAATGGCCTGGATCCTCCGCGGAGGATCTACGATGAAGTACGCAAAGTCTGACGTATGGTTTATCGGACGTTTGCGAGTAGGCACTTTGCGAGTGGCGGAACGCGCACGGCGAGGAAACCAAAAGGTACCAGTACCACTACTCCCCGGACCTATCCTGGGGTGCATTCTGACCAGCACTTCGGGGCGAATCCAGCGGTGGCGACGAGGGCCTTCCGGGAGGCACAGCAACGTGGAAAACGAGGAAAGGGTGGCGCCATGGGTACACCTTCTCCTCCTCCGCTAAAGTCCTGGGAGCACCTGTGGGCCAAGGGCACTTCTAGCAACACCCGACCCCGCGCCCTGGGCTGCCCACTGCCGGCGCCGCGGCCGCCCGCCCCGCGGCCGAGGAGCTCGCCGCCGCAGGCCTGGCGGCACGCGGCGGAGGCGGCCGCGCAGCCCATGGGCGCGCGGCCCCCCCGCGGCGCGGTGGCCCGCGGCGGCTCGCCGGCGCCCGGAGCTCCGACGAGCAAGGCGTCCGTCGGGCTGCGCACGGACAGGCCCCCCCCTCCCTAAGGGTGCCCTGAGAGATCCTGGCGTTGCCACTGCTACACAACGGGCGTCTTCGCCGGGCGTCGGGCCCCATAGGGCCATCACCAGTCGACCCGGCTCGAGAGACGGCGCGAAGCGATGGGGTCCGGCGCTCTGGTGGTGACTGTCGGGCTGCGCGCGGGTTGCCTGCTGTTGCCTTTGCCGCCTCCCCTCTCCTCGTGCATGTCTGCGTCTCTGCTCGCCGTGTTGTTTCTCTCCTCCCCGTCGTTTTCTGTGCGTTTGTTCCTGATCCTCCTCCTCCTCCTCCTCCTCCTCCTCCTCCTCCTCCTCCTCCTCCTCCTCCTCCTCATTGTCCTCCTCATGATTATCTTGCTCCTCCTCATCATCATCATCATCCTCCGCCGCCTCCTCCTCTTCCACCTCCTCCTCCATTCCTTTCCCTTATCAATAACTTCTCCCTGTTGCACCCCGAGGCAAGTTATTAGAGCGGGCTGGGCGTTTCGCCTGAGACTTCCTCACCATTTATAACCCTGCAGCTTTAAATGTGACAACAGCTTCACAGATGGAGGGCGGATCGTGTTAAAAATGTGGCTCTCAGCGTAGCGCCACGTACACTCGTTTTGAACATTCGCAACAGTTCTACGGTTTGAGGGCGGGTTGTTTTCAAAATGTGGTTATTGTCTTAGCGCCGCGCACATTCGTTATTGAACAATCGTAAGAGCTTCACGGATTGAGGGCGGGTGGTTTTCAAAATGTGGCCCTTGCATTTTTAAACATTTGCAAGACCTTCACGGATTTAGGGCGGTTCCTTTTCAAAATGTGGCTCTATCCTTGGCGCCGCGTGCATTCTGTTCAACCGTGTGCAAGAGCTTCACGGATTGAGGGCGGTCGGTTTTCAAGATGTGGCTCTCGCCTTAGCGTCGCGTACATTCGTTTCAAATATTTGCAAGAACTTCACGGATTGAGGGCGGCTCCTTTTCAAAATGTGGCTCTCGCCTCAACGCCGCGCACATTCGTTTGCAAACTCTGCAAGACTTTGACGGCTTCCCATGAACAACGTACCAGACCTTGTGTTTTACGTTGATTCGCGGTGCTGAAGTCCCAAGAATGGCGTTCTGGCACGATTTAGGATCATCAGGACGCAACGGTCAGGTTGATCTGTGGCGTTGGAATCCCGAGAACAATGTTTTGGCATGTCTTCCAACGAGGCAAATCCCTCAGTAGAAATGAACCGTTGTAGGGGCCTATGAAGAGGGAGCTTGGGGGAGGGAGTACTCCAACATCGTTGATGACTCTGGGGTTTACACTGGTCCTCTTCCTCCTCCTCCTCCTTCTCCTCCTCCTCCTGCCCGTAACTAACGATGGCAAGAGTGTCATCCAGACGCCGCCATCCCACCACCACCCCAGGGGCCGTTACCCCCTGTTGCGGGCGAGCAAACTAAGTAGCCTGCATGGTTAAAAAGAGAAAGGCGGCCGACAGACCCCCCCAGGGGCGCGGCAGCTAATTCCCTGTGCGCCCCGGGGGGGAGGGAGGTAGGAGAGGCAACTGAAGCATGATCCTCGGAGGGGGGGGGCGGAGCGGAAGGAAGAGGCGTCGGCGGCAAGTGCGGTAAGCCGAGCGCGTGGCCGCAGCCACTCTCGCCCAAGGGGGGATGGCGCAAGGGCCCCCCCTTCTGCACTTAGGAAGCCCCCAAACCTGAGCCGTTATTCATCCTGAGTCGAACCTGTTCAGAGTCCCTGGAGCTCCAAAAGGAACACCCGCTCCAACTCTGGGGAACTCAAAAGCTCAACGGTCATTCATTGTCCCTGGGTGCGTGGCTGAAGTGTGGATCCGTGGTGAGGATTCTGTTTGTTGTTGTTGTTGTTGTTGTTGTTGTTGTTGTTGTTGTTGTTGTTGTTGTTGTTGTTGTTGTTGTTGTTGTTGTTGTTGTTGTTGCTAATGTTGTTGTCGTCGTCCCCCCCGCGACCCTACTCGCGACCCACCCCGCGACCCTGCTCGCGACCCACCCGCGACCCACCGCGCGACCCAACCGCGACCCACCTGCGACCCACCCCGCGACCCGCTCGCGACCCACCCGCGACCCACCCGCGACCCCGCCCGCGACCCACCCGAGACCCACCGTCGACCCACCCGCGACCCACCTGCGACCCAACCCGCGATCCACCTACATTGTTTTAACAAAAATCGGCGCATGCGGCGGGCTCGTTGTATAGCTTGAAACATTTTGCGCCTGCGGCGGGCTTCTTCAAAGCCTCGCAGACTGCCGACGTCCCCGCCGCCCCCTCACTCTTATCCGCAACTGCGGGGTGCTACGTACCCATACTGCCACTCCCCGGACCTCTCCTGGGACGCGGTCTGACAATGATTTCGAGGCGAATCCAGCAGTGGCGACGAGGGCCTCCCAGGAGGCCCAAAAATGGGAAAACGAGCAAAGGGCAGAGGTATGGGTAACTCTTCCTCTTCTGAGCTCAGGGCCCCTGGAGCCCCCCAAACTGGCCGCTCCAACTCTCTGAGGGCATCGCATCTCTGCGAGGTGTGCGCCGCCTCCGAGGGGCCCTGGACGGCCCTGGGCCGTGCACGGCGGCGCAGCGCCAGCGTGCCCCAGCCGCGGGCCCGAGCACGCGCGGGCGAGGGGGGCCCAGCGGCCAGGGGCGTTGGCGCGGGGGCGCGGCGTCATGCTGCATCCTCGGGGGAGCTGGTCTGTCCCGTCGCGGCCCCGTCCGCGTCGAATGCGGGTCGCATCCATGTCGGTCGGCCTCGTCGCATCCGTGTCGAATCCGCGTCGACTCCGCGTCGAATCCGCGCCAGGTCCGCGTCGAGCCCGCATCGATCCTGCGTCGGGCACAGGCGGGGCCCCTGGGAGCCTCTTGGGGCGGCATCCCCGGGGGCCTCTTGGGGCCTCCTGGCCACCTCGTGGGGCCCGCTTGGGGCACCCTTGGGAGCCTCGGGGGCCATCTTTGGGCCATCTTGGGTGAGATCGATCACAGGAGGGGGGGGGTCCAATTAGCGCCCCCCCCCCCCCCCCAAAGAGGCCAAAACGGAGCCCAAACCCTGGCAAAACCAGGGATTTGGGCTTCCTCGCCGAGGCCGTTTTGGGCGCTCCGACGACTCGCGGAACCCCCATGGGGCGTGGGCGCGCGGTGGCGCGGCGGGTCCGAGGAGCTGGACGGCCAGGCGCTCGGCCTCCGTGGTGCTCTCGGGGTCCTGCGGAGGGGTGCCGCCGCGCGGACTCTGCCTGCCCCGTGCTCACGGCTGCACCTGGCAGACCACCCCGGCCCAGACCGAAGGCCCGGGTTTCGGGGTGTGGGGGGGGGGGGGCGGGCTTCATTCCCTACCTAGGCTTTGCCTAGAAGGGTTCTTACTCGGAGGCTTGAAGGGCCGGGCAGTGGGGCCCACCCCGGGCGGTTTCCCCGGCATCCGCCCCGCGGTTCCCCCAGTGACGTTCCCTTAGCTTCGCGTTGCTTATCTCATATTAGCTTATCTTATTTCATCTTAGCTTAGCTTCATCTTAGCTTAGCTTAGCTTAGCTTCATATAGATGTTAGATGTTGCTTTCCTAGATCCTCCAACTCCTAGGTAGGGTCGCACTGGGATAATATGTTTTTTCCCCTCTCCCCGCCCCCCCCCCCCACACACACTGGAAACGGAGGGCAGATCGGGGCCTTCGGGTCGGGCTGGGGTGGTGTTGGTGGGCGGGGATGCGGGTGTCGGTCTCGTGGGCGTGCGCCTGTTGTTCGCAAGAGGACCCCAGATGCTCCTCCGGCGGCGAGCCGGGGGGGAAGTGAGACGGAGCGGGCCTTCTCAGGAGGCTCGGAAGTCTCAGGAAGCTTGCTAGCCTCCCCCGAAGTCGCAGAGCACTGCCCAGAAGGTCAGAGCGCTCCGCAGAGAAGCTCCGCCGCCTCCCGAGCTGGTCGCCTCCCGAGGCTTTCTCTCCTGCTCGCTTCTCCCCCGAGCTCGCCGCCGCCGACTCTCTGCGCTTGTCCGAGTTGTCTGGCGCTGGCCTGCCGCCGAGAAAAATGCACACGGCCGCGCGATGTCAAGGGGGAGGGGGAAAGGAACATGGGAGCATGGAGCTCACGAGCGGCGAACACATCCGTATCCGCACCGTCTCGGTCTGGCTTCTGGGGCGCGGCCCCGCGGGCACGCGGTCGCACGGATACGCGTTCCGCAAGGGGCATCCGTGCTGAAGACGCCCCGCACTCGCGGCTCGCGGAGCCGCGGCCCAGAGGTCCGGCCCGCGGGGCCGCGGATATGGACATCTCGCCGCGCCGCTTGTTCTCGACGCGCACAAGTGCACGACGCCGGCACCACGGCAAACCCACGGCAAACCCTGCGCCCCGCGCCCCAAGTAGACGAAGCTAGCACCGCGGCAAACCCCAAGGCAAACCAACCGCGCCCGAGGTAGCGTTTGCCCTGGTGGCCCAGGCGCCCTCTCAAAGACGGAAGGCCGCGCGCCAGAACAAACGGCGCGGCGACACATGTACTTCGCACCCGGGGATTCGCCCGGGCCCCATGGCACATGTCCAGAGCAGCAAAAGGCGGCACACGATCGGGAAGAGGAGGCGGAGCACGCCCCACGCCGCTGCAGGCGCTCAGCGGCAAGCGGGGATGTCGCGGCGTGGGTCTGAACACCGATGGAAAGCATCAGCCCCGACTCTCGCCGTGCAAGCCAACACTTACACGGGCTCTCCAGTTGGCGAATGGCGGCCCTCCTACAAACGCGTCAGTCGACCCTTGGCCGTCCGAGCCCTGGCGGGCCTGCAGCCGCCCTTCTCGTCCACCTCCGCTGAGCGCAGGAAGCGCAACGCCGGCAGAGCACAGACGCGGATCGAACACACACGGTCATGCCCCAGACGAGGGGAGGGGGAGGCATGGAGGAGGGCGATGGGCGGCGGGGAGCGGAGGGGCGGAGGGGGCGGGACGGGGGAGATGGACGGAGGGCGAGGGGCGGAGGGGAGGCACGAATGGGTGGGGATCGCCCGGTACATTCGCACGGCACCGATGGCCACCACCGTCGTGCAGCCTCCCACTCGGCGGCCGAGCGCTCCCCTGCCGCCCGCGCCGCCTTCCCCGGGCAGGCGAGCGGCTGTGCCGAGGCGCGGCGCCTCCCTCGCGCATCCGGAAGCCTACGCGTTGACGCGGCTGGTCGTGGCCGTGGCTGCGAAGGAGTGCACGCAGCACGGTGAGGGCACCTTTCTTACGCGTTGACGCGACTGGTCGTGGCCGTGGCTGCGAACGAGAGCACGCAGCACGGTGAGGGCACCTCTCTTCTCACCCCCGGGGCCCCGGGGGGGGGGGGGGGCCTGCTCGCAAATGAACCTCTGGGGGAGCGGCGCCCTGGGAGGGACCCCCAGGGGGGCCAGAGCCGCACGCCTCGGCCAGAGGCTCCGCCCCCCCCCCCCCCGGGGCGAGGGGTCGGCCTCCACGACAGGGCCACCGAGCCCTGGCTCGGCGCGGAGATGCCCACGTTCACACCACGCGAGCCCTGCGGAACGCGGCGAGGAGTCCAGGGTCTGGAGGCTGGTGGGGCACCACTGGAGGCCTGGCCATGGCGCCCTCCTCGGATAAGAAAGCCTCGAGGGTGCGGAGCCTCCTGGGGGCATACCTGAAAGCACGCCCCCACCGCAGGTCGGACTGGGGGCGACGAGCCAAGGCTACTCAGTGAAGCTGGCTGACTGCCAGAGCCCATTGTCATATCCACATGCGAGGTCTTCCCAGTCGCGCGTTCGGACGAACGGTGGCGTGACATGGAGCAGGAAGACGCACCCGTCCCGTGTGCCAATGACCACATGAATGCAGCTCCATGGACGAGCTGCCACTGATTGCTCATACTCCGCTGCCTCAGCAACTCTGATCCCTTGGCCTATGGTGGATCCCACGACGCACATTGCACCGGCCAGCTTCGCGCGATGTGGAACATGCTGCAGCTCGACACGCTCCACGCAAGATGTCGACCCATCAACACATCGCGTCAGCCCCCCTCCCCCACCCTCCAGCCCCCCCGCCGTTCGCGATCCCCACCCACCGCTTCTCCCCACGTCCTTCGTGACCCACGACAGGTGGCTGCGGAGCCACTTGCCACAGTAGAGGAAGTTGCTGTCGTTCCTCCTCGAGGCCTTCCTCGAGACCTTCGCGGACCTCCTCGGGCAGGCGGCGAGCGGGCGGAGGGCGGAGGGGAAGGCCCGGCAGGCTCCTGCCCCGACGACGTGGGCCCCGGGCCTCTCCGCGCCGCGTGAGCCGCTCACCTCTGAGCTGCCTCGGCCCTCGCGGGGCTTCCCAGAGGCCGTCGGCCCCACCTCTCGCACGGGCCCCACCCCCCGCGGGCTGCACTCGCTGAGGGCCCACGGGGCCCGAGGCGGGCCCCCAGGGAAGCAACCGGAGAGCCATCACGCTCGGCCCGCCCTTAAGGGCCCCGGGAGGTTTCGTCGACCTCGCCGCTCACGGGAACTCTTCGCGCCGCGGGCCGCTCGCCCCCCGAGCCTGCGAGGCCCGATGGGGGGGGGGCCTCAAGGAGGGTGCTCGGCATCGACCCGCCGCGCGCCCATCCCTGCACGCGCCCGCCTCCGAGGCCGAGGGCCCCGCGGCGCCGCACAACGCAGAGGGAGCGGCGGACGGCGTGGCCGTGGCCCGGTCGAGGCGGTCGAGGCGGTCGAGGCGGCCGGCCGGCCGGCCGATCGGCGGGCGATCGGCCCCGACCGAGCGCGGCTGGCGGGAGCTCCCCGGGTCTCCGAGGAGATCCATGTCTAGGGGGCCACACGCGAACCCTACCCCCTACCCCCCACGATTTATCTGAGGGGGAGGGTGGGGGGTAGGGGGTAGGGTTCGCGTGTGGCCCCCTAATGTTTCAGTCCGGGCGCGTGCTCCCAGCCTCTGCCTCTGGGGGCCCTTGTCGCGCCCCTGGGGCCCTCGAAAGCTGATCCGGGACGCAAAGCTAGCCACGGGGCAAGGCTCGGGACCTCTGGGGCGGAGGGGGTGGAAGCACCATTCAAAGAAGCGCTCGCGCCCAGGAAAGTGATTTGTAGCATGGCCACCCTGCCTCTCATTGTTGTGCCCATGGACGGACACATGCCAGAGGGCAAAAGCTACATCTGCCGTGGGTGGTGTTTCATCGAAGTTTGCCTGGCGTCTAGTTCCGGTTATATCGCCACGAGGGGTACCACGAGTCTGTCACGCAGCTCTTTGACAAGATCAGGGGCCTGCAGGCAGACACTGAAGATACAATCCAGGAGGCGTTCAAAAGGACCCGATTCACCCGAAATGGCGACGAACATGTGGTTCCGAAGCTCTTCGCGAACACAGGACCGTACCCGCTTCCGTATCTCACCCTCGACGCGTGTCCTCCTAAACCTCACGACCCCTAGGGAATACGCCCATGTCTGACGCAGCAGACTGCATGTAGCAATAGGCGCCATTCAGTCCTCATTTCAGCATCGTGACTTTACCTTATGGGGAAATCTTGGAGGCCTCGCGCGGCACCTTGAGCCCCAATCTACGTCGGACCCACGTCGGATTGACGTCAGATTACATTGGAGTTACGTTGGATTCACGTCGGACTCTCATCGGAGCATCGCCGCGCGAACGTCGTCTCATATCTGAAGGGGCGGAGCAAATTATACAACTATGGCGCGCTGCGCGAGGCCTCCAAGATCCTCTCGGTGTACGCACCGGAGGCGCCGCCAGGGTGGCCCAGCGCTGACCCAAAAAAACCGCGCAGACCTCCGAAAGTTTCCGCCCCTCGGATTTCAGCGTCGTGACGGCATGACGAGGGGCTTGGCAATCGCAATCCCCGACTGTGGGGGGGTGGGGCGTCCATGCTCGATAGGGATGCGTCCGAATAGCCCTCTGAAGGTGCATCCCCGACTGCCCCCTCTTTTCTAGGCGGCCTGACTTCTTGGGGGTAACTTGGGGATTGGGGGCGGGAAATCGCCTGTGACTGTACACATGCTGCTTAGAGTCAAGAAAGGCTGGAGCTCAGAAAGGAATCTTCGCTCCTCGCGTTGTCTTAAGCAGTGGTCAAGATCCAGATCGATCAGAATCCTCTGAGAAAAAAGGCTCAAACAAAAATGCCCACGGCCCAGTCCAATTCCTGAGCTTCTGAAGCGAAATCTGGAGCCCAGGGAAGATGATGACGTTTCTTGAGAATCCCGAGTGGTGTACCGTCGGACTTGACTGGACAGGACACGCGGGAGGGCACGAGAATCTTCCGAGGGCCACACTGCCAGAGAAATGTAGGAGGCATGGGTTGCGAGACACGGGACGTCATGGTGATGAGCAATGAAAGTACCCCTGACCCGTTGGGAAGGGAGCTGAATTAGGAGGGTCACAAACATTAGGGATACGGAGTCATTTCTGCAGATGTATCAGACCAAACCTCCCAGTGAGGCCACGTCTTCGTACGGTTATTAGGGTTACGGTCGGCCCGTATCATAAAGGATTCACGATAAGGAAGCAAGGGCCTTGGAAGGCCACGTCGACACTTTGCAAGCGGGGCGCGGCCAACGAGAGTAGCCAAGGATGGACCGAGGAAGCAAGGATGCAGAGAGCACCCTGGGGAAACATGCCCCATCCTTAACCATGCGGGTTGACCGTACTGGCTCTCTTTCGGCGGAGGACAAACCTCCCTTTAGTACACCTCCCCTTAGTGAAAACGGCCTGGGACCGAAACCGACAGACCTGGACCCGCAAAAATGACGGCCACGGCGCCCTCTCGCGAACCGAAAACGGCAAATCCCTAAATCGGCGTGACTGGGTAGGAGGTCTGCCCACCCCCGACTCTTGCTTTCGACGACAGAGCACCCCTGACTTGGCAGGGCCCACCTGCTGAGCGGGGCCGACCGCACCGCCCCTCGGCGCCTCGCTGCCGACAGGCACCTCGGGCCCCGGGGGGCCCCCCCGCCCCGCGGGCGGCGGCCGGCGCCTCGGCACGAGGCCCCAGGGGGGCCTCTCGGCCGATCGCCCCCAGGGTGGCCCTCTGGACCGCAGGGGGGGTCACGCGCGCCCGCACGGGCAGGCGCCGCCATTGGAGGCCTCTCAGATGGGGTCGGATAGGGGGCCACACGCGAACCCTAGCCCCCTGCCCCCCACGATTTCTGAGGGGGAGGGCGGGGTTCACTTCGTTCGGGAGCTCCCCCGAGCGAAGTGAACCCCACCCTCCCCCTCAGAAATCGTGGGGGGCAGGGCTAGGGTTCGCGTGTGGCCCCATATCGGAGGGGACGGGGCCGGGGGGTCGCGCCGCACCGTCTATACATCGGCGCCGCAGCGGCGATGCACCGGCGGTGCACCGGCGATGCGTCGTCGACGCGGGCGATGCAGCGGCGACGTCGACGTGAAGGCCGCCGGGCTCCACGTCGAGCCGCATCGAGGCGATGCACCGGCGATGCGGCGCGATCCTCGGACCCCACTGGCCACCTGCTCCGACCCCACTTAGGAGGCCTGGGGCCGTGCCGCCTCGCCCACCCGAAGGGGTCCCCCCCAAGGAGAGGCGCGGCCACGGACCCGCGCCGGCCTCTGGGCCCAGGCACTGCTGGGGCCCAGGGCCGAGGGCTGCCACGGGGGAGTGCCCACCCGGGGGTCCCTCGAGGGCTCGCCGCACGGGAAGCGCTGCGCGGACACGAGATGGCGGAGCGCGCAGCGGGCAGCCGGGCGAGTCGCGGGCGCAGCGGCTGCCGCACGGCAGTGCTCAGCTGGGCGCTCGGCCGAGCCAGGCTGGGCTGGCATGAGCGGAAGGAGAAGAGGGGACGACGGGGAGGGACCTGCTCTAGGTGCGCTCGCGCCTTCATCCGACATCTTACCCCATCCCACCCATCTCGTGCCATTGCGCTAATGTTGCCCCATCCGCCGACGGATGTCATAGCGGACCTGGAACTCTCAAAGAGGCCATATCATTCTATGCGCGGTCCGAAAAAAAGGAGCTGTGCACATTGAAGGAGGAGGAGGAGAAGGAGGAGGAGGAGGAGGAGGAGGAGGAGGAGGAGGAGGAGGAGGGAGAGGAGGCGGCGGATGAGCGAGAGGATGATCACGAGGAAGAGGAATGGACTGAAGAGGGAGGAGAAGAAGGGAGGAGGAGGCGGAGGCGGAGGCGAAGGCGAAAGAGGAGGAGGAGGAGGAGAAGGAGGAGGAGGAGGAGGAGGAGGAGGAGGGAGGAGGAGGGAGGAGGAAGGAGGAGGCGGGAGGGGGAGGAAGGAGGGGGGGACGAGGGAGAAGAGCGAGGCCGAGGCCCTTTCGACTTCCTGCATGGCGCTCGCGCTGCGCACGCCGAGCGTGGGGTCTGTGGCGGGGCGGAGCTGACGCTGCCGCTGCCCGTCGGCCACCGTCGATTCTCCGTTCGGCCGACGGCTGCGCAAGCTGTCGCCTCTCGCATACCACCGCTCACCGAAAGCCGCTACTTGCTGGGAAGGCTTCGGGTCGCACACAGGCAACCCCCCAGGCAGTCCCGGCTGGCCCCAACAGGCCCCCTGAACAGTCGCAGCTTCAGGGGCAACGGTAGGGGGGATAGGCACAGGGGGGAAACATCGACCTGGAATCGGCGGTGCATCGCCGATGGATCGGCGATAAGCCCCGGATGGTAGATCCGCACTTTCCTGGGCAGGTTGGGGCTGTAGGCCCCAACCTGCCCAGGAAAGTGCGATAGGCGCATGGGCGACTGTGGCTCGATGCCCCCCCCCCCTGCCCATCCCCCCCCTATCCTTTCCCCTGGCAGCCGGCCTCCACAGGCCCGCCGAGAGTAGTCCGGGGCGGCCTCAGAGTGGGGGCGTGGAGACCGCCTCGGACCACTCAGGGGGCCCGTGGAGGCCGGCCAGAACCACACGGGGCCCCGTGGAGGCCAGCCGGGGCCGCCTGTGGTGGCCGCCTGTGCGCAGGCCGCAGCCTTACCACTGCTCCTGTTGCGGCGAGCATCGCGCTCGGACGCTGGCAGGGGGGCCGCCGCGCGGAGCTGCGAGGCCACGGGAAATCCGGCTCCTGGGCTCTGTAGACAAGGGCGCTCCATCACGAGGCTACCCCTGCACTGGAGGGGATATTGGGTCTCGCGCACCATTCCAGCACCAAGCAGCACGCCCGCGTCGCTGTAAAAAAACCTGGCCGGCGACGCCCCCAGCCTTGCTCTGGCGCGCGGATGTGCTCCGCCGCACCGCACGACCGTGGCCGTGGCCCCCCCCGCTCACAGCTTGCTGGACGCCGTGGCCGCCTCCTTCAGCTCCACCTTGAGGGTCAGCGGCTTCACCTGAGACCAGGCCTCATCGGGTCCGTCCGTCACCTCGCCCGCGGGCCTCAGGATGCCGACCTGCACCGTCTCCCCGGGCTGGTGGTTGTCGAGCTCCGCGTAGATGTCGTTGATGCGCTTCGTTCTCCGGGCGTCGATCGACAGGATGACGTCGCCCGGGCGGATGCCCGCAGCGCCTGCCGCGCTGCCGTCCTGCAGGCCCACGACGATGCCGCCGTCCTTGCCCACCAGGCTCTTCGCCAGGCCGTCCTGCCCCAGGTACACGCCGATGCCGGCCCGCTTGACGTAGCCGTACTTCAGGATGCTCTGCACCCGGGCCTGCCCGCCGGGGCCCCAGGCTCAGACGGGTCTCTATAGAACTCAGAGACCCCCCCCCCCCCTCCGAAAATCCCCCCCCCCCCTGCTGGAACCCCTCCGCCCCCCCCTCCCCCGGCAAAACCCCCCCCCCTCCCCTAACCCCACCCAGCTGAGCGCGAGGAGGGCGAGGGCCGAGAAGCTGGGAGGGGGCCCGAGCCTGGAGCGGGGCCTGGGCCGGAGCCAGGGGCGTGGCATGAGGAGGGGAGCGGGGGTGAGAGAGTGGGCCCTGGGGCCATGCACGAAGCACCACAGCGACTGCGTGACGTATGATGTGGCCTTGCCTGGACGCATGCAAGTACGGTGATACCTAACTAGTTTCATCGCTGCCGCATGACATGCAGACAATTGAAATCTGGCCGCCAAAAACATCATGAGAAATCATAGAATGTGGCTTCGGCCATCGCTTGTTGCCGCTGCTTCTGTCTCTGAAGCCCTGAAGTGGGAGCGGATGTGGACACAGGCGAGGCGATGCGAGGCGTTATGAGGACCCAAGGGGGGGCAACGAGGAGGGGGGGAGTCAGGCCCCAAGCCCTTGGACGTGGCCCTGGACAGAGCCTGGACCGTGTCGGACGGGATCGCGAACCCGACGCCTGCCGAGGCCCCGCTCGGCGAGAAGATCACCGTGTTCATGCCTATGACCTGGCCGCGGCTGTTCAGCAGAGGCCCGCCGCTGTTCCCCGGATTGATCGACGCGTCGGTCTGGATCGCTCCCTGTATCGGCCTGCCGCCCACGGACATGATCGTGCGGCCCACCCCGGACACGATGCCCTTCGTGAGGGTGTGGTCCAGGCCAAAAGGGTTGCCGATTGCGTATACCTCCTGGGGGAAACCACAAGAAGCACCGTACCGATACCGCTACTCCCTGAACCTCTCCTGGGGTGCGTTCTGACAAGAATTTCGACGCGAATCCAGCCGTGGCGACGAGGGCCTCCCAGGAGGCCCAAGAAGGCGAACACGAGGGACGAGTAGCGGTATGGGTACATCTTCCTCCTCTGACTCCTGTCCCACCCGCATCGAGGAGGAATCGCCAAGGCGCAGCACCTTGAGCGGCTTGGTCGTCTTCGCCTTCTTCGAGCGATCCACCTGCAGGACCGCCACGTCGGTGCCAGGGTCGGCTCCAACTATCCGGGCAGGGAGCTCGATGCCCTCGATGAAGCGGACGGTCAAGGCGTTTGCGTTTTGAATGACGTGGAAGTTCGTAACAATGTGGCCATCGTTGTCATACACCCAGCCGCTGCCTGTGCCCTGCGGAACGGCCTGGAGCTCTGCTGCCCGGTCCACCTTGAAGACCTCGTTGGTGATGAAGACCACGCCAGGCGTGTTCTCCTCGAACAAGCTGACCGTCTGCTTCTCCTCCAGCAGAGCACACATCCCCCACCCCACCTCGCTGCCCCCGGGCAGGCCAACGATGGCAGGCCTTCCTCCAGCCCGCCGGCCGGCGGGCTCCTCTGCGCAGGCTCTCTAAGCGCGGCCGGCAGTGATCGTGCAGCATCGTCGGCGCTTCGGCCAAGCGGCGCGATCCTCCGACTCCATCTACTCTTGGGTCGGGCGTGTTCTCCCACAGGCGGATTTTGGACGAAAGATTAAAGGTAAGCAAAACATATGCAAGAATAGCCAAACATAGTGTTAAAAAACGACCTTGACTATTTAATGACTATTTTCAAATACTCCTCATGTAGAGGGACATGCCCGACTTAAATCTACTCGTACTCCATTTGAGAGGCCTACACTGGCCTCTCCAATGGGGTCCGATCCTCCCCTCCGTCCTACTCTGGCCCCTTCTGGGAGGCCAGGCGAGACGATGGTGCGCCCGTCGGAGGCGAAGCGCCCCAGCTGCCATAAGAACCCCAGACCATGTTGCTCCAGTTCTGTCTTTACAGTCCCGCAGGTTTGCGACCCCGCTGCCCCCATGGTCGCCCGCCCTGGTGGTCACCAAGCCCTTGGGTTCATGGTCTCTCATGGAGCCAAGTTTTGCGATCAACCGGGAGGTTGGACGGGGCGGGGCCAGGGGGGAAGTGATACGAGGAAACCTTCTCACAAGGCGGCCGGGCTTCTCAGAAGCCGCCCCGGCCTTCTGAGAAGCCGTCTCTGTCTTCGGAGGAGGCTTAAAAGACTTCTCAGAAGGCTGGAGGCCATCTGGGCCTTCTGAAAAAGCCCGCCCCCTCTGTACTTCCCCACAGACGCCCGACGTCATGACTTTGTTTCAAAACATCGACCTCCATGAGGCCTCGACCCATTTCCCGGGACCGTCTTTCCATACTGAGTCGATTGCAGACGGTCCCGAGGTCCGGTGAGGGCCCCCAGAGGCCGCAGATAGCGAAGAACCTCCCGTCGTGATTTTCTCATGACTCGAGTGGGTCTGGGCCCCCTGGGCCTCGCCGCCGAATTGAGCTCATGGTCATCCATCGGGGGCGGCCACGAGGGGGGGGGGTCAAGACATGGCTGGCGGCACGTGCGCGGCCCAGGGAGGGGTCCGGGACGCACCGAAACAGGAAGGGGCGCCCTGGAATCTGGGGAGCTGTCGTGGCCCCCGAAGCCGTGGAGGGCTGAACTCTGCCCTCGCCTCAGCGCCCCTCAAACGGGGACTCCACTAACGGGTACTTTGGCCAGTGACTCAGCGAACCCAGCCCTTCCCGATGTGGGCAAAGCTGCAATGCAAGAAAAAGGCCCTAAAGTGGCAACTTTCGGCAAAATTGCAAAGTACCCGTTAGTAAGTACCCGTTACGGCTCCGCTGATCGCCCGGGAGGCGGGGCGGGCCGGGGCGCCCGGGCCACAGGGGGGGGGGGGGGCCGCGGACGGAGCGCAGCATCTCTCGGGGCCCCCGCGGTGCCGCCCAGGGCGGAGAGCCCACGGTGGCACGCGTGATAGGCCTCTCGCGCGAGCTGGGCCCGGGGGTGCGGACGTCGGCCCGGCTGGCGACACTCTCAGTATCGGTCCAGTGGTGAACTCGAGCGGGCAGTCAGGACAGCGCAAGGACAGCGTAGATGAAGGGGCCCCATGACACACAAATAAATACACACAAATAAAAATATTCACCATATTTTCGCATATCTTCTGGGTTTTCGTCTTCCCCCCCACTTCCCATATTTTCCCATATTTTCCTGGGGATCGACGATTAATTGTGTCTGTGTGTTTTTTTCCCTCCTGAGTAGAGAGAGCTGAAAAGTGCGTCGGACAACAGCTGCAAGACTGGATTCGGTGGGAATCACCCGCTTGTGCCATGGCTTGCAGGACGGAGCTCGGTGAGGACCACCCGCTTACGCAATGGCTAATTAATGTCGCATGCATCATCGGTCAGGAAGGCGGCACGGTGTGTCGCCGGCGAGCCCTAGGGGCAAGTATCCCTCAGACCGCGAAACGCGAAGGGCGGATCACTTCGCGCCGCGCTCTGAGACATCGCCCAGACCGCGAAGCGCGACGAACTTCGCACCCTCGTGGTGGCCCGAGGGCCCTCGGGGCCCCAGGGAAGAGCCGACGAAGCTCGAGCAAGATTGGGGCCTCGAGCCTCGAAGCTCTCGCGCGATGCCTCGGCGGCGAGTCCCCGGGGGGGAAGTGAGAATGGGGCGGGCCTTCTCAGGAGGCCTGGAAGTCCCCGCGCGCCCTCTGAGGAGCTTCCCGAGCCTGCCCCGAAGGCACCCAGGACTGCCCAGAGGGCGCGAGGGCTTCGGAGAAGAGTCACGCCGCCATTCTGAGAAGGCCTTCTCCTTCTCATGTCCCCCCCTCGCTCGCCGCCGAGCTTGGGCGTTGCTCAAGGGGGGGGGGGGGGGGGGCGATGAGCGAGGGGGAAAGAAACGTGCACCTTTCGTCCCCCTGTTGGGCTCCAGAAGGGGCCCTCTAGGGCCACTTTGGAGCAAAAGAGGCGCACCGAAAGAGGCGCACCTTCTCTTCACCCCGCTCCCATCGCGGCCCGGGCGGGCCCAACCCTGAGACCCCAGGGCGTCCATTGATTTTTGGTGAGGGCACGTCACGCTTTCCATTGCACAACCATCGAAACCCAAGAAACCCAGGGCACCCTGGAGGCAGGCGGGGTGTCGTTTGGCATGGGTTCTCACTGCAAGACAAGGCAGCGCCATGAGACGACGCCAGGTCACCGGACAACACGTGCGGATGCGCACAGATCGTGGCGCCTCTCAGGGAAAGCGGGCCTGCCCCAGTGGCCTGCAGGCCCGGCGGTGCACCCGGAGGGGGCTCGGACAGCTCCAGACGGCCCGTATCGGCAGCTGCAGCCAGGGGCAGATGGACCAGGGGGTACCATTCGACAGGGGGATCGACTACAGAATTGATTGACTGCGAAACGGATTTTTCTGCCGGATCTACTAGAAATGCGTGGAACGCTCTTGTAGATCTCGGAGCATCCTGCGCATTGCCCGTCAGCTCGACGGAAAAATCAAGTTGGGGGCAAATCCATTACGCGGTCGATCCCCCACTCGAACCATTTTGCAGGAGCGACGAAAGGCACCGGGCCACACGCGAGAAGACATGGCACCCTCTCGCCGCGGCGGAGGGCGGGCCGCCCGCGCGGCGCACCGCGCGGAGGCGAGGAGGCGCGCTCGCGCGCGACCTGCTGGGCGGGAAGCGCCTGCGCGCCGAGGCCCGTGCGGCAGTCCGACCCTTCCTCGTCTGCCTCCTCGCGGCCTCACGGCGGGCTCACGGCGTGACGGCCCCGGGGCCTCGGCTGCCCGCGGCGGGGCCGCCGAGGCTCGACGCGTCGCGAACCTGCTCGCATCCAGGGGCTCCGGTCGCCCACGCCTTCGGCACGCGTCTCGCGGCCGCTCGGGCGTCCACCCCCGTGCGCACGTTTTTTTGCGTGCGGCGTTGGTCGTGCGTGTGCTTGCTGGCTGGCCCGAGGGTCGAGCATATGCGCCTCGGGGGCCCTCGCCGAGAAGAAAAAGCACACCTCCGAGCGATGCCGAGATGTCAGGCCGCCCGCCCCTCGGGCCGTCCTCCTCCCTGCCTCCGCCGACCGACGACGGCCCCGAGACTCCCCCCACGACGGCCCACCGGCAGCTCGAGAGGGACCCAGCGGCCACGACGGCTTGCGCCAGGAGGCCTCGAGGATCGGCCGAGGCGGCGCCAAGAGAGGCCTCGGGAGGCGCACCAGAGAGCCAAGAGGGGCGCCCGATCGTCCAAAGGCTCTCCGTGTGCTTCTAGGCCGAGGCATGTCTCAAGAAACTCCCGAAGCCCCCAGGAGAGCCTCAAGACGGCCCGAGAGGGACCTCGAGGGGCGCCAAGATGGCCCAAGGGTGCCCCCTGAAGGCCCACGACGCCCCAAGACGGCCCCAGAGGGCCCCAAGAGGCCGCCACGACGGCTGAGCCACAAGGCCCGATGGAAGAGCCAAATGCAGCAACACAGGAGGCGCCCGAGCTAGCCAGGTAGGCCTCAAAGCCCACGAGGCCCCAAAACGGCCGCGAGACGCCCAGGCAGGCCCCAAGCGGCAACGAGGACCAGCAAAGCGGCCCCGCAAGCGACCCAAATGCCTCAAAACGCTCCATCGGCAGCAGCAGCAGCAGCAGCAGCAGCAGCAGCAGCAGCAGCAGCGACCGCGGTACCAGCAGCTTGCTGCATTCCCGGCTTCCCTGGACGTTGGGCCTGGCGACTCTCCGGGTGCCCGTCCGCAGGCCAACGACAACTCTGAGATGGCCGATCCCGGAAACCCTGCACCCAAAGATGCTGTTCATCTCTTGGGAGGTCGCCTCTTGCGCCTCCGCCAGCTTCCGCACAGCTTCCGCACCGGCTTCCGCACGGCCTCCGCCGGCGGAGGCGTCGCCTTCCCTCTGCCCCTCCCGCCGACCTCCCGCCGCCTCCCGCCGAGGAAGAGACGGCGAGTCCTTCGATCCTCGAAGGCCCTTCTTGGCCTCGATCCTCGACCCTCGACCCTCGATCCTCGAAGGCGCAGCCCTGTTTGGGACGCCTCCTATATGACTGCAGCGACACCGACCTGGGCCAGGCCAGCCCCGGGCCCCAGACCTGCCCAATCCCGGCGCCTCCCTGGCCCGGGCAGCTCGGGCGCGCACGCCGGCCGACTCTGGCACCCGACCGAGAGGGGCCCGGCCGCGCAGGGGCGCCGGTGCACCGCCGGCGCCCTCCGACCCGGGCAGGGGAGCCCAGAACCGAATCGATCAGTCGGATCGGCGATCGGCATGGATCGGATCGGCGGGACTCGGCCAGGGTGCCACGTGCGAACCCTACCCCTCCCCCCCACGATTTTTGAGGGGGAGGGTGGGGTTCACTTCCTTCGAGAGCTCCCGAGCGAAGTGAACCCCACCCTCCCCCTCAAAAATCGTGGGGGGGAGGGGTAGGGTTCGCACGTGGCCCCCTATCGGCAGCCAAATCGGGAGACATCGACTCGGCACAACTCGGCAGGCCAGCAGGCCACCATGGAGACCCCGGAGCCCGGAGGCGGCATCCGCAGCCGAGGCGAAGCGGCATCGGAGGCCACCGACCTCGAAAATCGCATCGAGTATATCCGAGGGACCGCGACGAGCCCCGCCGAGGCGGCCCTGCCCGCTCTCCTCGGCGTTGAGGGGGTAGTCCTCCGCGGCCGCCAGCACGGGCGCCTCCGCCCAGGCCGCCGCCGCGCCCGGGGCGGCGGCGCCGAGCGCGCAGCCCTGCGCGAGCACGAGCAGGGACGCGCAGAGGGCGGCGGCGCCGCGCGCCCACACGCGCAGGCCGGCGGGCACGGCCTGCGGGAGCGGCAGGGGTGCCGACGCCTAACCGCAGGGGACTATGCTTCCTCCTCCTCCTCCTCCTCCTCCTCCTCCTCCTCCTCCTCCTCCTCCTCCTCCTCCGCCTCCGCCTCCGCCTCCGCCTCCTCCTCCTCCGCCTCCTCTGCCGTCGCCAGCCCTGCGGAGCACGGGCACGGCGCAGGCGCCCCGGACTCTGCGCACCGCCCCAGGACACAGGACGGCCCTGGCCAGGCGTACACTCAGGTCGGGCATGTCCTCCTACAGGCGGACTTTCAACGAAGCATAAAGCACAGTCAAAACATACTCAAGAAATGTGCAAAGATAGTCAACCAATCGTCCCCATACGATTTGTTGCACTATTTCTTACTATTCCTCCTGTAGAGGGACACGCCCGACTTGAGCGCACACTTGAGCTGCCAGGGCCCCGGATGGTCCTGTGGTCGGATGGTCTCGAGGCCCGCCGCCCGTCGCTCCCCTGGGCCCCTGCCGCAGCGCGATCTGGCCAGGACCCCGAGGGCAAACCGGGTCGTTGGCCGACGAGGGCGCCGTCCTCTCGTCGCGGAGGCCCCCGAGAGCCAGGGGGGGCGACGGACAACGAAGCGGCACCGGCGGCACCGCCGTGTCTCTTCTCGGGGGCCCCCAAAGGCGGACCGCACACGCGTGGCGAGTGAGTGGCAAGTCGGGGTGGCCGCACGGCTCTGGGACCTGGGATCTCCGAGGTCGTCTCGGGGGGCTGGGGCCTCCGAGGCCCCCGACGCGATGCGGTGGCGCACCGTGCGGTGAGGTCCCTCGGGACTTCGAGGTCAGCGCACGGGCCCCGGACAGCCTCCGATCAGAGCGCTCCAAGCCGCGGCCCCAACGGTCCCGACCCCTTCCCCGGGAGCAGGTTTCCGCCCCGCATGCACTCTTGAGAGGCCCCACGGCGGGCCCCATAAGGCCGAAATGGTGGGAAAGACGCCCTCATCGGAAACGTCAGTTCCTGGGAGATCGGGCTCTGCCCACGTAGAGGCCTCCTATAAATGGGTCCGACTAGATGGGGTCGGAGGATCGGGCCGCATCGGCGATGCATCGGAAACGTCAGCGATGCCTCGGCGGTGTCGACGTAAAGAAAATCGGGCTCCAAATCAAGCCGCATCGCCGGTGCACCGGCGATGCGGAACGATCCTTCGACCCCATCTACTCGGACCCCACTTGAGGGGCCTACACCTACCGCGACATGTCCTTAGAAACCTGATAGAGTCACGAACCCCGACCTTGGAATGCCGGCGAAATTGGTGTGTGAGAGACCGGCAGGGGCAAGGAGGGAGGGGAAAACAGGGCGGCCATGTGGGTTCCCTGGTTTTCCGCTTCAGGACTTGGCGGGGCTCCCCGACACCTGCCGCGACATGCTCTTAGAAACAAGTTGTCCTGGTTCGCCGGCCCAGCGGGCGAGAGGCTTACTAACATCTCCAGTAAGAGTTTCGGAATGTTTCGAGTTCGCTCGCACGTGGCGGCCCCTGGGGGTCCCCGGACGAACCGCAACCCCAGCGAAGTCCCGGCAGGTCCCCAGCGTGTCCAGATCACGGATGCCGGAACTCCCGGGCGCGGCCCTGGGGGCCCCTTGGAGCGCCACAGAAACGCCCCAAAGAGGTGGCAGGCCTAACGGCCTCAGGCCAAGAGCGTTCAAAGAGGGTCCAAGTTGGTCTCAAGGCGGCCCAAGTGGCGCCCAAGGCGCCCCAGGCTCGAAGAGGACCCCAAGAGGGCCCGAAGAGACAACCTTCATTGATGTTTGCATTTAGGCGTTACCGCCTTTTCAAGCTTCCGACCGCCCAGGACGGCCCAAGAGGCCTCAAATATTGCCCCAAGTCAGCCCAAGAGGCTCCCAGGACGGCCCCAAGACGGCCGAAAAAAGTTCCAAGACGGCCAAAGAGGCCTCCCCCAAGCGCTCCAGAGGCTCCCTTAATGGCCCTCAGAGGGTGCACCCGAACAGACAGATCGAGCCTTCTCCGAAATTTGGCACCCTAGACCGCCAGCGGGCCCCCAAGAAGCCCTCAAGAGGCCCCACAGCCTAAAAGGATACCCCGCGGGGCCCCCAACAGGCCCCACGTGATCCCGCCACCAGGAGGCCCCCGAAAAGCTCCCCCGAAGAGGCGTCTTGTCCGCGACCCAGCTTGGTCCCCAGTGCCCCAAGAAGACGTCGAGAGGCCTCCTCTTCCTCCTCCTCCTCCTCCTTCTCCTCCTCTTCCTCCTCCTCCTCGTCCTCCTCCTCCTCGTCCTCCTCCTCCTCGTCCTCCTCCTCCTCCTCCTTCCACCCTCCTACTCCCGTATCGAGTCCCCTATCTTCCTTCTCGCCCGCCAAGGGCACACTAAGTATAGCAACAGGGGTGCAATGTGGGCGGGCGAAATGAGCGAAAACATTAACATGATCGACTCACGAACCCATGAACGAACTTAGAAACGCGAGGCATGGCTCAAGACACCTGATTGGACGACAACCAACTGCAATGCTGAAGGTATCGATCGTGATTTACTGTGCCAGTGATTGTGCTGTGCTGTGCGGTGCTGAAACGAAATCCGCCATGCCACATGCCACAATGAAGTACGTTGTGCTCTATAGTGTTGTGGATCAAGTCGCCCTTGGTATCCGAATCCTGGCCGAACTGATCTGAATCTGACGCTCGAGCTGCCTGAACGCATAGCTGGCCCAGAACTGGTTGCAATCGGAACGTATGGGACGCTCAATCAGCTCGAGCTGAAGATCCGACTCAATTCCGAAGCGGGACGAGACGACACGGGCGTAGAGCGCATGAACGCGCCACGGAATGTGCCAGGGGCGCACACGGGGATGCGCCAGGGGACGTGGCAAGAGACGCGCCACCTAGCGGACAGGGAAAGCACCAGGGGACAGGCGAAACAGGGAACGCACCGAGGGGGGACAGGCATACGCAGTGGCGCTCTGGGTGGGGCGTTCGGAACCATGTCTTCTAACGCTTGTCCCGCCCTGGGGCGTTAGACACCCACCTGTTTTCACGTGTCCAGGCCACCCGCAGGGACGGATAACCTCACATGTAAATGTGCAAATATGAGGTTCCAACTCGGGGCAAACATTTTAGATACCGCCCGGGTGGCCTGGACATGTAAAAACACTCGGTTCCAGCTCGGAGCCACCATGTTAGATACCCCACGTTGTGGCCTTGACACGTGAAAACACACGGCTCCAGCTCGGGACCACCATGTTAGATACTACAATGGGGAACCTGGAATATTTTCCGCCAGCGAAACCGGCCTGGAATCGTGAAAACACGTGGTTCCAGCTCGGGACCACCATGTTAGATACCCCACTTTGTGGCCTGGACAACTAAAAACACGTGGCTCCAGCGAGGGGCAAGAAGCAACCATCTTCGATACCCCCTAGCCCCCCCTGGGCAGCCTGAACACGTGCAAACGCGTGGTTCCAGCTCAGGGCCACCAAGGCTTCATGGAAACTTGCAAGCACGTGTTTCCAACTCGGGACCACCATGCTAGATATTCCCCTGAGTGGCCTGGACACGTGAAAGCACTTAGTTCCAGCTGGGGACAACCTAGATCACTCTGGGTGGCATGGAAACGTGCAGAAGCACTTGCTTCCAGCTCCGGACCACCCTGTTAGATACCCCTCTGGGTAGCCTCGACACGTGAAAGCATGTGCTTCCAGCTTGGGACAACCATGTCAGATACCCTTCTGGGTGGCCTGGGAACGTGAAAACACGTGGTTCCAGCTCGGGACCATGTTAGAGACCTCTCTGGGTGGCCTGGACAATTCAAAACACATGATTCCAGCTCGGGACCACCATGTTAAATACCCCAGGGGGAAATATGGGAAATCATCCGCCGAAGAAAATGAATCAAGTTGTTACACATCTGGAGTCGCGTTCTTGATTTTGGCTGGCCCTTGTGGGCCCCCACACTGGGCCCCCCCGGACGACCACATGTTCCGCACATTCAACAACACGTAGTTCCAGCTCGGGGCCATCATGTTAGATACCCCTTTGGGTGGCCTGGACACGTGAAACCACGTGGTTACAGCTCGGGACCAGCACTTTAGATACCCCACTGTGTGGCCTGGACAAGTGAAAACACGTGGCTCCAGCGCGGGACCCCCATGTTCGATGCCAGCCTGGGTGGCCCGGACACGTGAAAGCACATGGTTCCATCTTGTGGCAGCAATGTTAGATACCCCCTGTGCGACCTGGGCACGTGAAAACAAACATGTCGCATGGGACATCCTCTGAATACTGGCCCGCAGGAGAGGGGCGAACTGCAGGACAAAATAAGCCTGTCGATCGGAATTTCAAACAAGAGCGTTTGGCTAGGATCATCCTTAACATTTAGATTTGCCGGCCCTCCGCGATCTCGATATTCATCGCAAATCCGCTGGCGATTCGCAAGCCCTACGCAAGTTAGAGGCCGGGGACAGACTACCATCCTACAAGCGAACCCTGGGTCCTCGCCCTCTCCAGGAAATAACAAAAAACGTTATTTGGAACATAAGGCCGACACATTCACGCAAGACGCTCAGCAAGACATGTTCTAAGAACAATCAGTTCAAGCCACACTGAGGTCTTAGAACATTCTCTGTTGGCCTTGCAATGCGAGCCCCAAAAATAGGCACCACCACCACCACCTCCCTCACCCCCTCCGTCTCGCAGGAGAGAGAAGGGGAAGAGGAGGGTAGAAGAGGGAGGGGAAGTGTAGGTGGTGGTGTGGTGGTGAATATCCCCATGAACCCTGAAACCGAGCCGCGAACCGCGGAACCGAACAGGTCGACCGCGGAACTGGCGAGAAAAAGGGCCAGTCAGAACCTGCCGTGAACGGGAACCCAGCCGCACACCCTTGAAGACCCACTCGCTGTGGGTCGGCCCCCTGTTGGAAGATCCACGACCAGGATGCTTCGCCAGGACAGGACGCCGCGGTCGAGCCAGAGCAGGCCAAGACGCTTCGCCACTACTTCTGGGTCGGGCTCGTCCTCCCTTCTCCGGGCGGCTTCTTGGAGAAAGAGAGATACTCAAAACACGTCCAAAAGTAGTTAGGGGAACAAAAAATGGCATAAACATAAAAACTCGGAGGTCCGCGCGGATTTCTCGGATCGGCGCTGGACCCCCCTCCCTAGCGCGCGGAGCGCGCCAGGGGCGGGGCCGGAGGCGCCGCCAGGGGGCCCCAGCGCCGACCCGAGAAAAATCCGCGCGGACCTCAGAGTTGTTATGTTTATGCCATTTTTTGTCCCCCTAGTAGTC